CATTCCGGCGACTTGGGGGTGGGGGTGGGTAGGGGGGTTGGGGGTGTTGTTTTTTTTTTAAATGCACCCCGATTGTTTCCAACAGATCTTACGAAACGGTCGCCGTAAGAGCAGTTCCCCGCATGCATGGCTCAGTTAAAATGCAACTAAAACTGTCGGCTCTCTCTCACCCCATCGTCTCCAAAGGGACTTTTCTTTCGGGCCCCTTCCTCTTTGCGCGATCTTGTCCACGTTGCTTTCCCCCGGCGCCTGCTCCTCTCCGGATCCGGATCTCCTTCCGAATTTCCTGCGGAATTCCACTTTGGAAAAGCAGCTAGTTCGCGACGGGAGGAAGGAGGGCGTGCATCTCAGGCTTGGGAGGAAAGGCGAGAGAGAGAGAGAGGTGAGCGTGCATGCATGCCCCCCAAGGGCGGGGGAATGGAATGGGGGGTGAAGAGAGAAAAGGGCGAAGGCTGGGACACCTGCCTGCCCCCTCCGCGTGCCTGGGGGGGTGGGAGATCCCAGCGAGACGAACTTTCCGTCCCTTCCCCGTCTCCGGCGAAGCGGGATCTTTCCCCGTCTCTTGTGCTTGCCAGAGGGCGGAAACGGCAGAGGCGAGTCAGCTGGCGTTTTGCAACAAATACTATTTTTGCTTCTCCGCCCTCCCTCCCTCTCCCTGCTCTCTTCCACTAGCCTCGCCTGCCCACCTTTAAACTCGCTTAAAAATAAATCCCAGGAAGCCAAGCCGCTCACCCAGCCGCGATCCTTTGCAGCGCCCGTCTTTGTTCTCCTTTTTACACATGACACACAAAAAGATCGCTCTTCCTTCCTTCCTTGGCCAACTCCTGCCGTATCTCGCTCACATTTCTCTCTCTCCCCCCCCTTCTGACTTTTCTTTCCAGCGGGGGGTCCCCCCTTCGCCGGCTCGGCGGCGCCACCTGCTGGAAGGCTCCGCGCCGCGCGGGTTCCGCAGCCCTGCCAAAAAACTTTATATTTTAATCACACATGGACTCTGAGTCTGAATTATTTTACTCAGGCTCTGCTGGACTATCTTATCTCTGCTAAATACCATTTTTTCAGTATCTCACTATCACCCAACAAGTTCCCTGAAAAAAAGCTTGTAGAGAGGCTGTCATTTGGGAGAATGTAAAGGCTCTCAGTTTCTTATAGAATTTGGAAGGATTATGGATGATCCTTAGGGCAGTCAGGCCCTACTTGGCCACCAGTGTGTGTGTGGGGGGCAGGGCTGGAAGCTCCAGGCTGGGAAACACCTGGAGATTTGGGGTGGGTGGGGCCTGAGGAGGGCGGAGTTTAGGGAGGGGCGGAGTTTCAATGGAGTATAATGCCCTACTGGCCATTGTCTCCAGGGGAACGGATCTCAGATAGGGTTGCCAAGTTCAGGTTGGGAAATACCTGGACATTTTTTTGGGGGGTGGAGCCTGAGGAAGGCGGGGTTTGGGGAAGGGGCGGTGCTTCAATTGAGATTGATGCCAGAGAGTCCGCCTTTCAAAGGAGCCGTTTTCTCCAGGGGAACTGATCTCTTGTGACCTGGAGATCAGTTGTAGTAGTAGGACATCTCCAGCCACCACCAGGAGGTTGGTAACCCTTCCTGAAGATCAGTTGTAATCCCAGGAGGTCTCCAGCCACCCCCGGGAAGTTGGCAACTCTAGAGGTAGGCTGTCTCTGAACATGGAGGTTCTACCAACTATCCTTGCTATTGTTGGATCAGTCCATGTAAGCCAGCATCCAACCAGGTCTTTCCAGAAAGCCCACAGGCATGGATAGGAGGTGTGCCTGGGTTGCCAACTCCGGGTTGGGAGATTTCTGGAGATTTGGGGGGGGTGGCGCCTAAGGAGGGCAGGGACCTCAGCCAGGAAGGGATCCCGAAGCTGCCATTTTCTCCAGGAGAACTGATCTCTGCAGTCTGGGGAGTAGCTGGGAGTTCCAGAAAATCTCCAGGACCCATCTGGAGGATGGCAACCCCACTGTAGTCCAATGTGCCCTCTAAGCTGTGGAGTCTTGTGAGCAAAAATTCAACCTTGTGAGCTCCTGGCATTAAAGTTTGTGAGCGAGCGATTTGGCTGCTGCATCAATCAGTTTGCTCTGGAGCCGTCCCTTCCTGAGCTGAGACAAAAGTGTGTGAGCCGTGGGCTGAAAAAACTGTGAGCTAGCTCACACTGACTCAGCTTAGAGGGAACACTGCTCTAGTCTATCCCTGAAGGAGGAAGTTCCAAAAGAACACTGCTTCTTCAGACCAAAAGGCAGACTGGTCCTACATAGAGAGGTTTCATTTCGTTCTGATCAAAATATCCCTTACTGGAAAGGGTCACCCTGTTTCCAACAGCTTTCAGCCCAATTCACACTGCAAAGCTCACAAACAAAGGTTCAGTGATGTCTTTCCCCTCTGTTGTTTGTCCCTGCCTCTGTTACTCAAACGTAGACTGCCTCTTGACATGGAGGTTCCATTTAGCGATCATGGCCCAATTGCCGATCTTTACAAGAAGATGAAGAGGAGATTGGATTTATACCCCGCCCTTCACTACCCAAAGGAGTCTCAGAGCGGTTTACAATCCCTTTCCCTCCCCACAACAGACACCCTGTGAGGCAGGTGGGGCTGAGAGAGCTCTCTTGAGAACTGCCCTTGAGAGAGAACAGCTCTGAGAGAACTTGTGACTGACCCAAGGTCACACCAGCAGCTGCACGTGGAGGCATGGGGAATCAAACCCGGTCCTCCCAGATTAGAGTCTGCGGTCCTAACCACTGCACCAGACTGGCCTAGATCAAGATGAGGAGCCTGGCTGGATTCAGATGAGGCCGCCCTAGCTCAGCATCCTCCCCCTTCCAACTGGGTGCCCCAAGGGGAAGCCAGCACGCAGGATGTCAAGGTAACAGCCCTCCCTTATTCTTCATGCTCGAGTAGACAGCAACGGCACACGGATGCTCCGTTTAGTTATCGCAGCCGGCCCCCTAAGTGTAGCTCTCCCTTCCACTAATCTGATCATCCTTTACCAAGAAAAGTGATCTGGGTTCATGGCCGCCTCTACATCTTGCGGTGCAGAATTCTTTACGGTAGTGACGATGCCCGGGATGAAGGGCGAACTGTCTTTGGCTCGTCTGGAAATGACTGCCAGCCCATTTAATTCGGGGAACTCTGCTTTATGATCGGGAGACGACCGGGAATCAACCAGTGAAGCGGATGATTAAGGTGAGTGAGTGTTTGCGCACGGCGCTCCGCCGGACACAGGAAATTACAGTATCACATAACCCACACCTAGAAGAAGAAGATAAGAGATTGGATTTATACCCCGCCCTTCACTGCCCAAAGGAGTCTCAGAGCGGCTTACAAACTCCTCTCCCTTCCCCTCCCCACAACAGACACCCTGTGAGGTAGGCGGGGCTGAGAGAACTCTGACAGAAACTGCTCTTTTTTCAAGGACAGCTGTTATCAGAACTATGGTTTGCCCAAGGTCACCCAGCAGGTGCAAGTGGAGGAGTGGGGAATAAAATCCGGTTCTCCCAAATTAGAGTCCACGCACTCAACCACTACACCAAACAACAGTTATGAAAGAGGAGGGAGAAGAGGAGATTGGATTTATACCCCGCCCTTCACTGCCCAAAGGAGTCTCAGAGCGGCTTACAAACTCCTCTCCCTTCCCCTCCCCACAACAGACACCCTGTGAGGTAGATGGGGCTGAGAGAGCTCTGAGAGAAACTGTTCTTTTTCAAGAACAGCTGTGCCAGAACTATGGCGTGCCCAAGGTCATCCAGCAGGTGCAAGTGGAGGAGTGGGGAATCAAACCCGGTCCTCCCAGATTAGAGTCCGCGCACTTAACCACTACACCAAACCTAACGGACAGCAGTGGTTCCTAACTGTGATGATTGACAAATTTTGGAGGGCGCTTAGGACGTGGGGGGGGGGAAATGGAGGACATGTGGGATTCCAGAAAGCACCTCCTCCCCAAACTCATACTGGCGCCTGGTAGGCAGAGGAGGGGGGTTGTTTTATGTAGCTGGACCGGTCCTAAGGATAAAATACCAGTCTGGAAGTTTTGCCCCCAGTCCTTAAAAAAGTAGCATGCAGAAAACAAGCACTGAACCTAACATGAAGGAATAGGCTGAGGGATGTCAGGCTCGGGGGGGGGGGTGCCAAACCCCAGGTGGGCCCTGGAGATCTCGTGGAATGAACTCCAGATTACAGCAATCAGTTCCCCTGGAGGAAATGGCAGTTTTGGAGGGTGGACTCTGTGGCCCCCAGACCATGCTGAGAGCCTGTCTGGTGCAGCGGTTAGGAGTGCAGACTCTATTCTGGGAGGACTGGGTTTGATTCCCCACTCCTCCTTCACATGCAGCTGCTGGTGTGACCTTGGGTCAGTCACAAGTTCTCCCAGAGCTGTTCTCTCAAGGGCAATCCTCGAAAGAGCTCTCTCAGCCCCACATACCTCACAGGCAGCGTTCCCTCTAAGCT